AGCTGTGTCTGCAACTCAGTGCTTACTGCTAGGAAAATAGGATGAAATGTGGATCACAAACTCCAGAAGGCTACCCCAGGCTGCAAGAGTACCCCAAGCACTCAGGACCACAAGTCACACTGGTTGAAGCAAGATGAAAGTTATGCTTTAAGCAAAAAGAAATCTTTTGAAATACTGGGTGTCAGAGTATAAATCCCATACCTTAAAATTAGATCATCAATGTAGAAAATTGAATAAGCAAATCTACTTTGCTTCAAATTCACTTTTTACCTACACTCCTATCTAGCTTGGCATCTTAGACAAGCCTCTTCTGAAACTTATCATTACACTCCAGTCAAAGTAACCGTCTTCAGCCTTATTTTCTTACGCAATTAAAATTAGAGTATGTCTGATGTATTATTATAGTTAACAACAAAATCACACATATTTTGTCCTGATAGGAGGCAGAGCTATCAGGAGAATCTCCTTATTTAAGAAGTTCTATTAATGTGTAGCTGGTTTTTTGGAGAGAAATAAAGGAGACACACCAAGAGAAAAAAATGCCTCAGACCTGGCCACTGCTCTGAAACAGAGGGTGCAGTATGGGGACCTGACAGAACTAGACTGCCCTGAGGATAATTTCCTCTGTTTCAGAGGACTCAAATCTGACCTAAACAGAAATTCAGCATGCTAATAGAGGATGGTTTTGTACTATGTGTTTACATTACTGACTTAATTCCTTAAAATAATTCTTCCTATGATTTTACAACATGATTATTTACTTTATTTTTAATCCTACAAATTGTGTGATAAAAAGTTTATTTTGAAAAAGTGTATTTTTGAAAAGGCATATTTTTTATTTAATTTATTCTTTCACATATGTCCAAAGTCACAAAAGGAAGCTATTGCATATGAAAGCTATTGCAGTTAGAGTTCTCATGTATAATTTTTCCAAGAACTATAATATTCCATTGCTAGATTCTCAATCAGTTCTTGCAAAATGAAATAAAGTCACAATTCTGCAAAATCTTATGATCTTAAAAAATGGGTTTCTCGTCTTTGAAGGCTATGCCACAGTTTTATCAGTTTCTCTTGTATTTTGTGCAGCTTTTTTTTTTCCTCAATTATAGATGAAAACCATTCAGTTCCAGTGTTTAAATATGTTGGAGATTGTTTCTCCACTGTTGGTTAGATAGACACTTCCTTCCTCTTCACCATGGCTTTGGGAATAGAAGTGCTACTGTGACAATATGGCAACATTTCCTGAAATACTATATGATGCAAAGTATTCATGCAATTTGTCATCATTAATAACTATTATTTTGTAGTTTCCTTTCATAGCACTGATGCGGGAAGCCTAAAAAGAATCCATTATTTATTTGTTTTATTTGGTAATTGTACGAGCACCACAGTCTGATCTCATATCTAAAAGGGCTATGGTTTTCAAATAATCCCCCAAAATTATGACTTGGAAATAATGCACTTAAATTTCAGATTGGTAAATATTCCATGTTTTCACATGAAAAAAAATCTACACATATGTTTGAAGCATGAAAAGAAAACAGCTTGCACAACAGTGAGATAATAGGTAAAATACATCTCTAATGAGGCAGTACTTGCATTTCTGTCCTGCCCATTCTGGATATTTACTATTCTACCTTCCTAAGTAGTTTTATTTTATGGGATACTGGAAAAGGAATTTCAAAACAACAACAAAAACTTATTTACTTTAAAAGACTCTCTCCGATGTTTATACCTCTATTTTATATTTAAATAATTATAATGGGATGTAGCTATTAAAACCATAAAATAACTCCATATGCAACACCTTAATCTAGAAGAAGACAAAGATTTATATTATTTCACAAAGACTTACTAGATTCTCTCAAATGGCAGATAAAGAAAAGATAACAAACTGTTAGTTCCTGTAAAAAACATAAATTTAAAAGAATTCTTCAGCTGAAAGCCTACTAATGCAGAGGTATTTAAAAATTCATTTGTCTATTTCTATCATTACAAATGATATGGCATATTCAATTCTATCCCAGTCAGAAAGGATATGACCTTCTATCTCACATCCTGAGCAAACATACCATTTTGGAGGACAATGGGTAAAGGGCACTGGGTAATGACATCCCACAACCTTCTGTTCCTCCTGTCATCTTCCATGTAGGGCTTGGAACAATCTATATTCTTGAAAATGCCTGCCAGACTCAGACCTAAATGTCAACTAGATTGAAGAATGTCTTTATGAATTTTGATGGGATGAGGCACGTACATCTCCACTACCTCTGTGGTTAGTTGAGTCTCTGGATATACAGAAGCTGATATTTAGGCATCAAAACACTGTAGTGGGAAATTATTTTAGCTATTAGCAAGTACTGTTATCAAGTACATTATCAAGTAATTAACTCTAACATAAGCAAGTCTGTAAAGTGAAACAATACAACATACAGTATCCATACTAGCTGTAAGAATTTCATTGTGGTTTAGTGGTTTTACTTTGGACAAGCTTTATCAGGGCCTGATAAATGCCTATTAGGAGCTGGAGCACATAAGGAATGCTATTCCCGGTGCTATTCAAGTGCATATTATCAATTACCTCAAAGGAATGTAATCTGTGCCTTTCAAGATTACTCCACAATGAAAAATAAAGCAAGGGGAGTGGGAATGATCAGAAGAAGATTCAGTTCAAAAATCAGACTCCTGGATCTAATCTAAAATGCTAATGTAGTTGTACCTTTTATGTAAGCAGAAACTTACAAGATCTAAATATATAATACATATAAATAGATACAGTATCAGCCCTAGTCAGGTGTATAAGTGGATAGTGGAAATAGTGAGGTGGACAGGGACAAGTTATAGGAACAGAATTTGATCTAGTGCATTAAAGAGATATACAGGCAAATTGGGCATACTTTCTTAATAATTCATGTAGTCACTTAAACTAAAATGTCCTTTGACCCTGAATCCCAGAAAGCACAACTCTCTGAAGTAATTCCGAACATTTCTGAGAGAAAAGTCTTTGCAATTTTTTGATTCTAGTAAAGAAATCAGTGATGTGTCATAGCCCTGAATGCACTATTCTAACTCAGTTACTCAGTTTACCTCATTGGACTTTCAACTTCCAATTCATAAGTTCCCAAACTTTAATTGGAAAACAGCTGCTTACCCAAAATACTACCCATTTAGAAGTCTCTTTTCAGAGCCTACAGAAAGGACTTAAACACAAAGAAAAACTAACAAAAAAAACCCCCAATCCCCAAACCTGCCTCTGACCTCCCCCCCGCCGTTCCCATTTTATTTAAGAGAACATTGCCTGGTTTCTGGCATCTCTAACGAATACAACATCTCATGGATCAAAGCAAAGGCAACTGATATAAAAAAATTATGCCATACTCCAGATTGGGGGGAATAAACGAAAATAAACCAAAAAACCCCGCCACACAGTGCCTATCCATTGAATGCTTGATGCATTCAAATGCTATTTAGTGAGCTAGTGTAAAGTACCAGTGTAGGGCAAGAGAGAAATACAGACTCAATATCTAGGTGTGCAATCACAAAGTTGATTATATGGAGATGAGATTGTGGAGGTTCACCCTTTCTGTCCCCTTCTACCTATTCATATTAAATTAATTTTATTCTTGCAGAACTATAGCTTCTAAGAATAAATGTAACTCATGAATAAAACAAGACATAGTGGTACATTGTAAGACACTAGACAATAATCCTCTGCCTTCTGCAAACTGAAATTGTTGCAAATAAAATTAATTTTACTAGAAAAGAATCATGTAAATAAAGCAAACAACTACTTGAGCTGTGCAAATTATTTCAAGTCCAGATCTAAAAAGCTTCCTTTTCCATTCAGCTATGGTTCAAGCTTTGATGTATTAACAAATTCTTAAACTTCTTTATACTAATCATTTCTGTTGCCCCTTTCAACAGCTGGAATGTGAAAATCCTGGGTCTTTATAACTGCCATAAAACAAAGTAGTAAGATCTTTCTATCTTAGTCTACTAGATTTGAACATCAAGAGTGCACAAGCAGACTCAGGCCATACCACTATAGAACTTAATATAAATGAACAGACAAAGGAAAGTTATGGATAGAAAAAAAAAGCAAGTAACACCATGCAGGTGTACTCCCAATATGCTTATTCACTCCATGTGCCCATCCTTAACAACATCAGCTCCATTTCTAATACACATGGTTGTTGGTTTAACTCCTTCCTTTCCTTTCTCCTCTCTTAATGAATAATCATACTTTCCATTATCTGGTTTTGGTGGTAGGCAGGAACCATGCAATTTAAAAATTTGTTGCAAGAAATACATGCAGCTGTGTTAAATATAATACAAAAATAATAAATATAACTAATTCTGTAATAATACAGAAGTGCATGTGTATATATATATATATATGTTATGCTTAAGTTTTTGGTTGATTCTGTTCTTCACGCTACATGAAAACTCTATGTTCTCCCAGAAGCATCAAACAGGAACAGCTGTTTTATGTTATGCATTATAGATCCCTCACATTTTAAGACCATAAAGAACAACATTATTAGGTAAGGTTTTCTTTGTCTTTGGCCCAAAACTCATCAGTAATTCAAATTCTTCGCTTGCAGTGGTTTTTTTCTGTTGTGGCAGGCATGATTAATTTTCAAAAGAATGTAGGAAGTATTCATTTCCTTTATGCATTCAGCTTTAAATAATCACAGAATTATTTCACTTCAATATTTCTCAACATGAAATAACAGAAGATAAATGTAAAACTATATCCCAAAAATCAACTGCTGTAGGAACACACCAAATAAAAAGCATGCAGTTTCATATGACATAAGACCTTTAAAGAGATCAAATTTATTTTTTGTATTTTTTTCAACTCGGCTTGCATTGTCTTGTTTTTAAAACTGACAGAACTGGAAATAGAATGCATCCCCTAATATAAAAGAAAAACATTTCATAATATTGGCTTAATTTTTCGTACACCATTAAATTCATTTCCAGTAATGTACTGTTACCTTTGTAGTTAACCTTGAAACCGATTGAGCCCACGCTTTCATCCGTTTGAAGGTGCAACCACATCTGATTGCTCATGCTCACAATTAAGTCTGGTACAAAGCTCCCAGTTAACCTATAGATAGAAAAAAAATCTGTAAATCCATTAAGTAACTAGATTTTTTTTTTTCTTTTTTGTAAGGGATCTAAATAACTATTAAGCATTTTTTTTTATGTTTTTTGTTTTTAAATTAATTATATTCAGCTCACACCAAATTAGTTATCTATTGGCTGGTTAATCAATACAGCTCTCAAGGTTCCAATGCCTGCAGATTTGATAGCATTCTATAAACACAAAAAATTACTGCTTGTGTTGTACTGAAATATTTCATCTCACTTTCAGTTGCTGGTCCATAAAGACATACATCTCCTGCAATCCTGAACCTTATCTGGCATTCCTGTGTGCATGACTCAGATATATGCAGGCCTGTGAAATGGCACTAGGAGCCCATAATGAGGCACTACACTTATTCTTCAAAATAAGTATTTCTCTGGTATACAATTACCCACTTTGGAATACATGTATCGCATATTTAACAGAAAGTTGTTATTCTTAAATAGCAATACTATTATGAAGGTCCACATGTTCCCTGCACTCTCTCACCTCCCCTCATCCCCTCTACCACAATGGAAGAAGATGCCTGACAGACTCAGGTGATGTTCATTCCTTCATTAACAAAAATACCACCTCACAACTTTAAAACCTCCTAATGTGACAGGATGTTGATTAATTAGAGAGAACTAATCTTGGTATTTATTTTTTTCTTTTCTTTCACTTTTCATATTGTTTGCAAAAATTTGCAAGTCAATGCAATCCTAAAAGTTCATTCTTTTTGATGAATGAAGTAGTGTGATAGCAAAAAGGAAATGTTGTGAAAGCTGCAGTTTTATATTATATTGCATTTTTTTCCCAAAACTTTGTCTCAAATTTGGTTAAGAGTTTGTCAGCTAAAACATAATGGTGGAAAGTACCAAAACATTTTCCATTCTTGTAAAATGGATCACAAGTACAAGACTGTGTAAGACTGAAAACTGTTAGTTTGTTTTTTGCAGTTCTAACCATTCTTTAAAGCTAGCTGAAACTTCAAATGGACTATTTTAAATGTATTTTGCAGTTAATTTTAGTTCTCCCCTCTGGTCTTTTTTAGCTTGTTTCTGTATGGAATACTCTGCTGTGGGAGAAATTCATGCCTATTTCCCACATCTGTGTTCACAGATGGAGCTACTACAAAGACTCTTGCCAGAATCGAACAAGTAAATGACTGGCCAAAATAATGTACTAACTGCTCACTCCTGCACTAAGGGAAAGTGTTTTCAGTGAGTTCAGTCTTTGCCAAATTAATACATTAACAGGATGTTCCTCAGAAACAACACTGATGTAATGGCTAACAGAGTTTTGTAACTGTCGCTGGTGACTGACAGTATATTTTGGGAATATTAAGGCCATCGGGAATATTAATCTCTTTGTTGTGTCAGAGAGAATAATTCCTATGATAAACAGCCATCAAAATTTTTATTGTTTCTATTTTCTGAAGTCAAGTATAAATATATTTGTTAAATGCATACAGTTTTCAGAAATAATATTTTTTCAATTAAATAGTTTATGGGGAAAAAATACCATTTGAAAATGCGCTTTTGAAATTAAGAATCAATCAACAGAACACAGAAATCACTTGTTGCTCTTTTTTAAGTGCTTAGGGATCCCTGTACAATATTTGGGAAGACTCTGGGGCCACAGAGCAATAAGATCCAGAAAAAACAACATTATGTGAAGGAAGCTGTTTAAGATAATAATGAAATTCTGTAGTTATGTATTATCCTTTCTTTCCTCCTGGGATTTATGCAACTTCCTCTACCCTGGACTCATTACCTAGATTCCCCTCCTGGAAGTAGGTTCTTACACCTTCCCTTTCAAAAGCTGAGCAGTGAACACTGTCAACAGTAGAAATGAAAACATACAATTATGATGCCTCCCTTTTTATTAAACAGCTTAACAGTATGACACGCAGCAGGGTGTTTTCCACCTCTTCCTCTACAACTGAAGAACTACCCCTCGCACATACTAGTGACATACATTCCCCCTGAGAGAGTACACTGAAGACTAGGTTAGAGGATACTCAGAAGATTGCAACACTCTCCATCTGCTGAAGACGATCTGTAATGTGGGAGACTGGATACATGTACACCCAACACAGCAAGAACACTAAAAGCTTAAGAATGAGTTTCATGCCTTGTGCACTCGATTTTCCAAGTGCATGTTACAGGAACCAGTGCTCAGATGCTTATTACATGAAGAGTCACCTGCAGCAACTGTCAGACCAAGCTGCTGAAAGCAGACTTCCAAACATCCTGAAAAAGTGCTGTGACTGATGTATGAAGGAGGACCCACCATTTCTTTTCTTCCTTCCACTCTATCTCTTGGTACTAAAACTTAACACTGTTCCACCTTGCAAAGATCTTAGTTCCATAGGAATGCGCTAAGAATGCCTTCACATTAGTCATCTTGTCAAACACACAAAAAATTTATTCCATTCAGATTTAAGCTCACTTAGGTACTAGGGCCACTAGGCTAGAACAGCATGTCATGTTGCTGGGTGTATGTATATAGGCACAGAATTGTCAGCACCCAGAGAGACTTAATGGCAAGTACTGAAATGGCTTTGGAGTTTAGCTGTGATTAGCACCAGCAGAGTAGGAATTATCAGGACTGCAATTCTCAATTTAGGAAGCATAATTCTACCTAAATGCCTCTTAAATTCAGGTTTTGGTTCTGAACCTTCCTATCTAGCAGTGCCCACTAAAACTAGTAGATTAAACACTTGGATAGGTTTCCTGATTAACTTTGATAAATTGGAAGATAAATGTTCTCACATCATTTACACGTAAACCAGACATATTCAAACCAATGTTCTTCAGCAATTTGCTGGAGGAAAGATAATTATCAAAAATTTTAAATCCAAAAATTAAATCATACAATAGTTGATTAATTTGCTACGCATCATCTCAGATGAAGTCTGCATGGCTCACAGGAGAAAAGATTTACACATTTTTTTACAGTACTCAATTATGTTCCATCTTCCATGTAATTTTTGTATACATTTTAATCCTAATAACTTTGACACTGATACTTCTGATCACAGAATAATCAGCAATCATTCCACTGGTAAACAAAAATAATATATGTGTGGATGATTATACAATGTTATTTGTATAACCCCGCAAACTAATTGGGGGATTTTTTGCTTTTCCAGGATCTCCATGGTAATAATTCTTTAAAATTATTTACCTAGTTATTTACAGAACAGATTCTCTTATCATGTGTTAACACTTGACAGTTCTAATTAACCCTTTTACTAATGAAAATTATTCGGAATTCCTTTATATTCATGACATTTAATCATGTAATTTCATCATTTCTTCCCAACAAAAGTCTCATCATCAGACATGCTTTTACAAAACACTAGCATCTTTAATGAAATAAAACATGGACAGAGTACTTTACTACATTACTCAAAATTTTAAATATCATTGTACTGTGCCTCAATGTGTTACTGTAATTCAGGTACCAATGAAAAACAATACTTTAGTTAAATGTTAAGAAAGCCTGGTGAATTGGTACTTAATAAATGCTCTTTCCACATGAGGGGATATTCAGTATAGTTTAGGAATCTACAAATACCTGAAATTAAATTCCAGCATTATCAGAAATATATTTTGAAGGCTTAGTACTGCTTATAAAATAGAAATTACAGTACTTCCCCACTTCTCAAAACTATTCTTAGTAAAAATTAGCACACCTACTATCCACTGAAGAAACTTTGCTTTATCCTAAAGAAATTGCACCTGCAATACCTGGCCAAATCCTGGTCTCCTCATTGATAAGAAGGGATAGAACAATTACAAAAATAATTTAAAATAAAAGGTCAGATAGTCTATCTTCTGAAGAAAAAAAAAATCTAAGGGGGAAATTCATGATTAAAATCTGCAAATCCTGAAACAACTGCATTTTCTGCTCAAAGTTTTGCAATTAATAATATTAATGAGATGAAATTAGGAAAGAAAACAAGGTAAAGACTGGGTTTAGAGTACTTAACCCAAACAAACTCTTGATATCATTCTCATGGTAAATAATGGAGAGTCACAATATAGAAAAGTAGTATTAAATATTTCTATTAAATATACTGCAGGGAATTTCATTCTAAGGAATCCTAATTTTGGTATTTGGGGGGGGGGGGGGCTTGATTAAATACATTTTGTACTAAACATTTATCACATCTGCTTCTGTTCTGATCTGTGTTTTAAATTTGTAACTCATTTGAACTACTGACAACATAAGGTACTTACCGAGAGGCCAGTTTATCTAAAAATAACAGCTAAATATTATTTGGCCATTTCCAAAAATCTTTTCTAAATAGCAGACAATCCCTTATGGGTAAAATATGGTTTCTAAGCAATAAACAATATTTTTGTTATTTTTTTCACAAAATTGAATCAGATATGAAAAAAAATACAATGTATTTTAAGGGCCATTAATTTCTCCTACAAAACACTGAATTATTTACTCAGAATGGAATGGGAGCTACATAAAATGACAGACTACAAGTAATACCTAATTACAGTGGTTTGCATATTTTCAAATGACTGGGGAATAAACAGAATCACTGGATTATACTGCTGTCTTCAAAATTTTACAAATTTAGTAATAAGATTCTGAATTTGTCTTCTTAAGACTGTTGTGATTATTATTAGACCAGTTATCACAAGTAAAGCATTTGAGAAATACAGATTCTGAAGTTTATCAGTGGCTGTTAAATATATAGATATCTATGTATCTGGGCTCACACATTCTAGAAGAATGCTAATGGATGATAAAATTCTTATTTAATACTCAGTGCTGTCTGATTTGTAATCATACATGGTTTAGATATTATAATACTCAGATTTTCTGTGTAGTAATTTTCTTCACTGTAGTAGCTCATTGTTTGAGTTATCTACAATAGTCAATAAGCACTCAAAGGTCAAGATCCTATAGTACATCTTTTGTCATACTGAGCCTGCTAGGAGATCATAAAAGTTTATGTATAAGTCATCCATTTATCTATTCTCAATTATGTTCTTACACACTTTTAACTTGAGAACACACTTATAAAGGGAGCACAATAGCCCCTAAAAATTTACATGTCTACACATGAATGTACAGACTATGTCTTTTAAAATTTCTGATTTTAGTTTATCTTTTTCTTTTCTGATGTCTAGCACATCTCTTTCTGACTTCAGAAGAGTAAACATATAACAATGTACTTAAAACTGTCACCTTCAGTAATTTTATAAGTCCAGTAAGATTAGTTTTTGTTGAGATTTACCTGCTTCTAATCACTATTTACTGTCATTAGAAAACACATTAATGATATTCTGTAATGCATACAAAATGTAAATGCAAAAGACTTACACTTGAAGCACAGTTTTAGGATCACCCACTTCTCCTCCATCACCAATTGTCAGTGTGTCATAGCCAATCTCCAGATCAAATTCTTCAAAATTTATCTGAATAACCTAGGAAATAAAATAAGTAAATATGTTTTAGAACTAAAGAAATGTACCTGAGAGATTAGTCTGTAAATAAGCTTTTCAGCAGTGTAAGTAAAAGAGATTTTCCAATTAATAATTACATGTAACTTTAGCAAATTTTACAATAAATTATTTCAATTAACCCAACAGGTTTGGTTCATGAAATATGAATTACAGTAACTTTAAGGTATCATCACTCTGCTGACCTCCTCAAAGCATCATTCGACTTATTTATGTAGTTGTTACATGTTTAATACAGTTCTGGATAATTGCATTACATTTTGATTAAGATATACTCAAGGGCAACATAACTAATTGGACTTCATGCAATACAACTGTCTTCAAATAACAACTGAATAATTGTACTTCACTGAGAAAATGCAGGGAAGGTGAAGAACATAATTTACTCCTGACATCTATAATCTGGCTCAAGTAAGATAAAGCTGGATCAAAGGTAAAAGTCATTTTCTTATTCCGTGAACCTGAGTAAAATGCAACTATCAGAAGCATAGGCATTTTTTCTATCCTGTAATTTAAACTGTAGTATGCACACTTAATGATGGAGCATAAACATTTCAGCTCCATTTTAAGAATACAATGTATTTTTCACTTACAGCAAAATTCAACCATATTATTAGAAAAGAAAATAAAGCATATTTTTCCACCCATGTATTAATCATGTTAACTCTGTGTTTATGAAAATTATAGAAGTTCCTCAAATTTTCATATAGATATAAATGACAAAATACTTATGTGTAGGCATTTTTAATACTTATGTCTGTAATAAACAGTATTTAATTATTGTTATAATTGAGAACTGCGAGTGTTTGTGTTTAGAGCTGTGGATGCCATTCTGATGGATTAATATCACATCCTTGAAAGCTCATATTACTTTGTTACACTGGGGTTCTGGTAATTGTCTGAAGAAGGACATGTTTCCATGAACAAAAGCCAGTACAGGCAAGTTGGAGAAACTGATGTACGTTCCAAGGATCGTAATTTGTTTTGAAGGGAGGAGAAACACTTCTCGTTACAGGAATAAATGGGAACATAAGTACACTGAGGAAAAGCCAGTTTGGCATATTCACATATGCAAACGTGTGTGTGTGTGTGTGTGTATGTGCATGTATGTGTGTGTTATACTCCAGGGAATACGGTCAAGTACAGAGAGTTAAGAGGGCCCAGACGGAGAGGACATGGAAAATTGCATAGGCAAGTAGCTGATTTGCTCTAATTGTCTGAGTAAAGCAGACAAAAGCATATATAAATCTTCTTGATCTTCTTAGTGTAGAAAAAATATTCTGGATATTTTGTGTTGTTCTAGCCACAAAATTTGTAAGCCTAGACACAGAATTTAAACAGAACTCCATAACTAGATTTAAGGCTATTAAAAAAAAAGAAAGAAAACAGAAAACAGTCTTCATTTTTGGTCCACAATTAACTGCAATTAGATGTGCAGTTACATCAGAATAGGACAAAGGCTCCACAATAAAACATGGGAGTTTCTGGGCAAATATTAGTATTGAATTCAAGTTGAAAGTATATTTCACTTACTAAGAGTAAAATACATTTTGCAATAATATCAATACTTAAGTGCTACAGCAGAGAAAACTTAAATTTATGTTCATAACAACAAGAAATCCAAGATGTTAAGAAAAATTGCATAATCAGTTCATCCACCTAAATCCTAATCCTGTTTTCCATTAAACACAAGAAGAAACCTAATCTCATTATCATATATTTCTTAGTGCAACAGTAATCTTTCTTATAAATTAATATGCTTTCAGGTATTTTATATTATTTGTTTACCACCAAATTGATACAAAGCATCTGTCTTTTTGTAGTTAAGTACTTGTCTTTATAAGCAGTGTCAGAAAGCTAAAATAGCTTTTTTTAGTACAATCAACAATATCCCATCCTACATGTATTTCATTGGAGAGGAGAGGATAGAGGTTAAGGAAAATAGAAGTTCCTTTACAAGGTTTCAAGACACTTTTTTTTTTTAATTAGGGCTGACCAGAAAAGAAATACATCTCTCCTCGTATGATTAAGGTTCAAAATGTTTTCTTCATTTCACCAAAGAAATGTAAGACCTTTTTCATTACTTTTTAACAATGCTCACAAATAAAAAAGTAAAAGAACTCCATGAAAAATACCTGACTCATCAGGGAATACTGTGGAACATGAAAAAACCAACTAAATTTGATTTTTTTGTTCAACTTATAAGCTTTGGCTTGAATCTTTCCACTAGCCTCTACTGAATCCCCAAATTATTGATGATTCTGTTGTGATCTAGCAGGTTAATGGCTGCTCTGATGTAATCTCTCATTCTTCTGCAATCTGAAATTCTTTTCTGAGATAAAGCAAGCTTTTTATTTTTAATCATAATAGATGTACATGCAAAAAAAGTTTATTATTTGGTTTTGCTGCACTAACATTTTTCAGAGAAGCATGTTTTATCAAAACAATTTTGGCCCTCTCTCTTTTTTTGTAACTCACCTTAAACTGTGATAATGGGATAGGTATGACCTTGAAAAGTGTACTTGTTTAAAGCCAAATATGCATAGATTAGTCTACATCTGTCTTGTATCATATTCTGTGAAACAGTCACATTTTTAAGACAAGAAGTAGCAATGAAGTAATTAATAACTTCCACGATTTAAGAATATATTTTAAAAAAATTATAGTAACTGGCTATAAAAATTTGGAATGTAACGTGATAATCTTATTCTTGCAGTTGTTATTACCGTGATTTCTTCTTCAAAGTTTCTGGATCAGCTAAGAATTAGAAAATGCTGCAACTTTGTACAAAACTGCCAGTAGTTAAACAAAACCAGAAACAGTAACCACCAAATATGATCATATTTTATGCATAGGAAAAAGTCAAATATTACTGCTTGAGCCAGTAAATATTTTGCGTACGATACATACCTCTGCTGGAAGAGGGTTAGAAACAGCTACCAATAACTACTCCAGACACATTACAGTGCAAATGAAGTATTTCATAACTCCAGATCATTAGAGGGTAAGCAAGCAACTGTATGTAACCTACTAATAACCCATTTCAACTTAGGTTTAACATACCAAACCTCAGCTGATTTACAGTAGAAACTTTGGATTTGGCAAACTAAACTTGCCATTTATTTGGCAAATATGCTTGTCGATTGACACTTGAAGACACTTAATTTTAGGGGAATTTTGCACAAATGGAAAAAGAGTAACATATAGTAACAGCAGAGCTGTCAATATCCAACATGCAAGAGGCAGTAAACTAATTTACTACATATGTAGTGCACAAGCATTTATATGTTGTAACTCTGAAAAACAACTGTGTATATTTTTTGGAAATTCATCCTCTGCTGTTTATCTTTGACATGCGAAGTACACAATGTACAATACAAAATGTACTTGAAATCTCTGCAAATCTGCCTGAATAGCAAGAAAATAGGTACTTCTAGTGATAAGATATATCTTCAGAGTCCTTGTTTTACGGTGTCACGTTTAGTTTGATCAGACCCAAAGACAGCTAGATTTGGCAGTGCTCATTATATTGATTATTCCTTTTAGAATACTGAAAAGGTGGCTTGATGATACCAGCATTTAAAGTTGAGCGTGCTGGAACCTCTCAAAATAAAACCCAAGATTTAGGTAAGATGAGTAAATAACTTAAAACTTTGTAATAAACCTGCCAAAAATTCTGCTTTTATGTCATCTAATGTTTTGCCTTTTTTTGTTTTTCTGAAAAAGCTGTAAACGCCAGACCAAAGGTAGGTGGCATCCTTGAAACAGTTTAACATTAGACTAAAACCTCAAGATAATTCTGCATTTTAGTCTGTTATTGTTTGTAAGAATAAACACTTCAGGGAAAACTGTACTGATTTATTACTATATTCTACATATTTTTAAACCCAATTAGCATTACTAAATTGTGCTATTGATCTGGTTAGTAGATGCACAGTAATCAGAAGTACAGGGACAGGTATTCTTGACCTGTAAATTCAAGTAAAGTCTTTTTTCCAGTTTCCCAGAGCAAGATATAAGCATCATTAATATAAATGAGGTATCCATTGTTCTTCTTGATCCATATAAACAGTGATCATGTTTAAAATGTGTTTATGTATTTATTGTATTTATGTCCCGCCCCACAACCTCATTTAAAACTGAAAAAAAAAAAAAGCGATAATTTCAAATGGTCAGGTACACTTTCAGGGAACAATACTATGAACAAAGATATTTCACCAATGATTTGCCTGAAGTACAAGATTCTGGATAAGAAGATAATACTATCAAAAGTGGGTTCTGGAAGACAGGCACAAGAGGGAAACTTCAAAGATGCAGAATTCCAGCTGAGACAGTTCACTACCATAGTCATGATCTATCATTTCACACACTGTAAGTCAACTAATGATATCAGTTATGTATCTGTATGGCTTCAGAACTGAGAAGAATATCTTTACTTAAAATTAAGCAATATAATAACTACTATTCTCTTCTTTTTCAGAAAGAGCTATGCAGTAGTACGTGAAATTTTGTACCTTTATAGTAGCTTTTGTGATGTATACAGCAGGTAGCAGACTACTATAATTATCCTGATACAGACTAATCATATTCTGAATTTTGTTTCAGAGGATATTATTAAACATGTCCCTAGACACTACTGTCAGTAAAAAGGAATCTTTTCTTTCCTCTTCCTCCGTATACACACATATAGAAGACCAACAAATTTATTTAAAATGAAATATGTTGAGTTGTGCACTCCTTATTCGCTAAAATAAATATGGAAGTAGCTAAAAGGAAGGCAATCATGTCTCTACATCCTGGTCTGCTTTTGCTGTTTATAAACCCAGAAGCAATAAACAGTTTATAATTACTGAATTAAATTAGATTTATAAATCCAGAAGCAAATAAACAAAAAATTATAGTAATACTAATGATTATTATCCAAGCTATACAGAAAAAAAAGTTGTATTTGAAAAATAACTTTC